GGGGGGTGTATGTACGCGTCTTTTTGCAGGAGGGTTGTGTGCACAGGTTAAATCAGTGCATTAGATTCAAAACTGGGGTTGAGTTCAAAGTGCATAAACCAGACTGGGGGGTCCAGTCACATGTGGCTGATACATCCAAGTAAGAAGCTGATCCACAAGTTCCACCACCCGTCCTCCCCTGCATGTGCTTATGCATGTGTTCAAAATGTCCCCCTCTCTTCTATGATTGATTGACACTCACCTGTAGTGACGTAGACAGCTTAATGGGCGCGTGCGGGCCGAGGAGGAGGAAGTGGGTGAGTGAAGAATGAGAGGGACAGAGGAGAGGAGAAGAGAGGAGAGGAGGACTGGACCAGTTCAAACCTCTGCTCCACTTCCACCCACCGGCCCGCTGAGTCTGAACCACACCAGGGATTAGACGAGCCGCTCACCTCGCACAGGTAAGACAGATGTTCCCCAGCTGCTCCGCCTCGGTGTCGCGGTGCTCCGCGCGTCACCTCGCTGTTGTGAACCGTGGGAATGTGAGTGAGGCGGACATTTTTTCTTGCTCTCCCTCCCTAATCCGTCTCTGGAAGTTTCAGACTGCGACTGAGCACAAGGAGAGAAAAACAAGCTGGTCACTTCTGTCGCTGTGTAACTTCTTTTCTAACTCATTTCTGACTGTGTGTTCTCAATGTTACTGTAAGGCCTCAGCTGTGAAGTGTTTATTATGGTTTGGGTTGAATAATAACACAGTGTACTAATGTGTTTCTGCACTTGACCTTATAAATAGTCTGGATTGACATAGAATAGAAGGTTTTCTCCTCCTGGTGACCAGTCAAAGCGCTTTACAGTAGTTTTACATTCACACACACATTCATACAATCTGTGTGCATTCTATAGGAACAGAACAATGTGTGACATGTTTTTGTGGTGCACAGATTTGTTGGAGCAGGTCTGTGTGTGTGTGTGTGTGTGTGTGTGTGTGTGTGTGTGTGTGTGTGAGTTAAGTGTAGAGGGAATGGTGAGTGAGTCATAGGTTACAGCTGACTGCTCTGTCCTGACTGAATGTGTGAGCAGGGATCATGGGATAGACTCCCCCCATAGATCTGGGAGCCCCTCTGCAGGTCCCTGGTGGTATTTGAGGGTTGTCTGTGTTATCACTGCCGTCTCCCCTTATCTCCATTTAAGGTATAGTTCATATATGTTGTCTACTTGTATGTCTCTTCATTACTATGTTATTTTTTACCATCCTCCTCAGACTCCTCCGATGCTGTTGTAGTTGCTGAAGTGAACACTAGACACAGGGCAGAGGACACGGCACAAGGACGCAATGTCCAACAGCCAGTCAGACGGTTGCACGGGCGACCATGCCCCTCTGATTCTGGAGGGCCACTTAACAGAACTGCATATATCTGAGCCGGGCGATGAGGACTACCAGCCACAAAGCCCCTCCACACCCAAGTTGGAAATATCCCCACCCCAGGAAGATGCAGTCGACAGGCTCGTGGTGCCTCAGCAGGTGGTTCTGAGCACCCAAAGTCCTGCAGCGCTGAAGGTTGGCACCCATCAGCTCATCCCCAAGAATTTAGCGACGCCCAGCCGGCCTAAAGTCCGCCACCACACCACTGTGGTTACATTCCCATTGGGACTGGAGCACTCCAGCAATGAGACCCGCAGCCGTCACTCCACCCAGGGGACAGATGTGTCCTGGGAGGATTATGACAGCGATGGAGATGGTTTATCTTTGAGGAGGAACCGCAGGAACAAGTCGTACAGAGCTGCAGTTACCAGCCTGGACATCGAAGCCATGGCCTCAGGACGAGGGGCTGAGACCACACTGAAAGCTGTCAGAGAGGACAGAGCACCCAGTCCTGGTCCAGCTCGCAGCCCTAGACGCAAGGTGAAGATGCTGGAGCTCAAAGGGCAGAATTGTCCATTTACCACAGAGTCATAGTAATTTAAATCAGATCACAATTTTCATATACATTGTAAATACTCTGTACTCTGGATTAGAAGCATTTTCTAAAGTAGTCTATATTTGAGATAAATTCTGAAATCCTGTATAAGTCAAAAATGATGTTGATTTTACTGCCGGTGTTAAAATGAAAACAGAGTCCAGCTGATCCAGGTTTGTTATTCTACTAGTTCCGCAGGTCACAGCTAGCAGAGCAAACAGTGTTGGCAGTATCCTCTGTCAAATTCTCCTTTAGTCATAGGGATGATGGCTACTGTTTCCAGTCTTCCAGACAAGTACTAATGTTGAGTAAGACCTGGAAGCTTGTTTTTTTTTTTTTACATGTGATTATGATTACCAATTAAAGGATTGAGAGTAAGAAGCAGTGCAGAAGATAGAATCAGGTGTTGGGAGAAAAACTGAGTGTCACTGACTCGCTGCTCCGGTGATAAACTCACTGCTGTCTCCCCTCTAGAGAACCCTGGGGAGAAAGAGGAACCAGAAACAACGTGGATCCTTCAAAGATGGTATGTTCACTAATGTGTCATTCTGTCCACTGCACTAAAGTTAACTCCATCACTACAAATAGCTGGGAAATTACAAAGGTATTTGATGTTTTTCTGTTTTTGTGGTGGCCTTGATCTACATGTCATAGCCTTAAGGCAACAGTCGAAGACAAAACAGGAAATTATACTGTCTGAATACTCCCAGCATGCTGAGAGTCTGTGGAGTCCTAAAGGTGGATATTAGTTATGTACTCTCAGACACTGACACACTAAAGCAAATGTTCAGTTATATCTATGTTGACCTGATTTGAAGACACCGATATTTCTGCTGCGAGGAATGTTTCCACCTGTTTTTAAAAAAATGTGAACTTCAAGACTGGTCATCTTAGAAAAAAATTTTAAATCTTTCTTTTGAGCTCTGAACAGCTTATCATGTTGATACCAAAAACTATCAATTTAAGTCTAACTCACTTTATTCCAAAGAGAAGCATCCTCACCTCGCATCTCTAATTCTTAAAATGGCCCATGTTGTTATGAGAACTATATACGTCGGTTTAGAAACCAGGTATTTTCACGCTTCCCACTGTTGCTTAGGAATGATTATGAAAAATTTGCTGCGTGATGTAAAAAGTCATGTGAGTCCATCACACGCTAAGTGTTTGTTGATGTCGATGCACACCTCAGCTACGCCGCAGCTCTACCAGGAGATCCGTGAGCGGGGGCTTCACTCCACCAACCAGGATGAGATGTTGGATGACTTTGTGGTGGTGGAGCCCCCTGTGGAAGACCAGGGCATCGTGGTGAAGAACTACAAGCCAGCATATCATACCTGGAGCCAGCTACCTCAGGTACAAATCACATGTTTTTGATTTGAGCACATCAACATGTCAGCCCATGTCACCAAAAGCTAAATCTCCTGACATCAGGGCTAACAATCCTCTAGTACGACTGCATGTACTTCCATACTACACTACGTGTGAAAATGTTCCTGTCTGACAGACTAGAAACATTTTTCAAATAGTTTTCAGTCTTTAAGGTTGTTTTCTTTTTTCAATCTAACAAAGGTGAAGGACACAGGTATCCTGACACTGATCTCAGCTCAGGAGAGGAAGAGACAGGAGGTAAGAGTGTGTCCGTCCCATTCGTGAATGCGATATCTCAAGAACGCCTTTAGGGTTCAAATTTGGTACAAATATTCATTTGGACTCAATGATGAACTGATTAGATTTTAGTTAGACAAAGGTCACGGTGGCCTCACAAACATGTATCTGAAGGAAACCACAATGCCTCCTTTCTGCACCCACTGTTTTTGCATCCACGTCCAGCAGATACACAGAGAGGCACTGATACCAACCTCCATAGACAATAAACACCAGAATGCAGTTCACTAATAAGACACGTTGCATTTTGATTTAGGTTCATTAACACAGTCAGGACATTTTGACAAAAGAAATGCGCACTTTAAGAAAACCAAGCTTTTCACTAATCAAAATGTTAAGATGAATGAATAAACAGTAGAGCTGGAGAGACGATCTGAACCTTATATTGATCAGATATTTATTCCCCATCATGTGATGTGACAAGTGATGTCAGAAAATGACGTCATGCATAGTTGAAAAGTGCATTTTTCTCATAGATGCAAACCAAAGCTTATATAGATTGACAAATAATTATGATCATATGGTAGGAATGATGTCATCATGATATTAATATTAAGTGAGATAATGAAGTCCAGTGGTGGGATGTAACAGAATACTTTTACTTAATCCCTACTTTTTTATGTATCTGTACTTATTTACTTAAGATTTATTCTTTGGTACTTTTCACTATAACTCCACCGAGACTTTTTAGGAAATTTAGCGACTCACTGAGCAGGACCAGAAGTAGACTGGGGGAATGTTGGTGTGACAACCTCTTTATATACAGTCTATGGTGACAACAAACCCAGTTTCATTACAAAAATGAACTGAACATCACAGACTGATACCATCTATACAGTGTAACACGATCTGAGGGTGGATTTTCCCTTTTGTCATCTGTATGCATTTCTTGTGTCAACAGCTAAGGTTCACCCTGTGTGCACTACAGTCCTTGAATAAAGCCACACCCTGCCAGTGTAATCACAACTCAGGTCCTCTCCTGAGCAGCTTCTAATGTCACTCTTATGTTCCTGGGTCCAGAGTCCTAGAGCTCTATTGTTGTCACACTCACAGGGATATGAAAGCTTCTGCGTGAAGTTTGGTTTTAGAAATTAAGATCAGCATCTAAGGAACTGTGAAAAAGTTCAGCAAACAAAACGAACCATTTTCTGAAATTCAGATCTGTTTTGCTTGAAACGTTCATGTTGGTCTGAGATTTTTTAGTGTTCTGGATTTTAGTTCAGCTACTGCCCTTCTGTTCTTTGTGAGCCACAAGAGTGTGGGAGATGTGCTGTCACCACCTGGTTGCTCACTTTACATCCTGACCACACACAGCACAGGTTAACCAACCCCTCATTACAGAATATGTATAGTGTCATACAGGAACTACTGCACCTTAATCGCTGCTGCTGCTCGTGTCTTCCATTTCTGCACCTCTGTTGTTGTCTGCTGGTAGATTTCAGTGCGTAGAGATTACGTTCCTGTGGACTTTAAAACATAGTTAACATCAGACCTCATCAGTTTTGTACCAGTATTCAACATGTGAGGAGAGCAGAGATGCAGATTTCTCCAGCCTCAATAGACCAGAATGCATTGCATGATGCGGATTGTTGATTTCTTTATTTTTTTCTAGAGGAATTTGGGGGAAATGTAGGAAGTAGAAGGAAAACTTATTCAAGAAAAAGTTAATTAAAGACGATAATAACTAAAGAACACAACTGGATGAGTTTTATATTTTTAAAGGTTAAAGCTGAAATAAATGTACATGTTGCATGTGTGCATGTGAATGGTTCCTCATGCACAAACATTTGTGTGGTCACTTTACAGGCCATTTTCGAGATAATCACCTCGGAGTATTCGTACCTGCACAGCCTGGGCATACTGGTACGTCACTTCAAGGAGAGTGAAGCCCTGAGAAAAACGATGACCACCACGGAGCACCATCACCTCTTCTCCAACATCTCTGTGATCCAGAAAGTCAGCCAACGGTGGGCTCCACGTTCTTACAGCCTTACTTGTGTGTGTGTGGTTGTGCGTGCGTGCGTGCGTGTGTGTGTGTGGCTAATGGAAAACTAGCCCTGGGGTATGTTGTAAAAAAAAAAAAAGGTAATGATAATGGTGTCTGTGTGAAGCAGTGCAAGATAATTGTTTGTTATCTGCAGACATTATCTACTTTAACTCACAGATTTTAAACAGAGCTGCATTTTAGTGTGTTGTCTTTACATTAAGGTAAACGCATCAAATTCCCACTGGATCTGTGGTTTCGAGTAGAAAATGGGTCACAAGTTTCAGGTTGAATATTTGCCTGTAGCGTGTCTCTAGTATCCTGTGGGTTGCATGGACGTGTTAAAACATGCTAGTCAAACAGGTTCAGCTGCAGCTCTGAGTGGTATTCCTGGCTTTAAGATGATAATTTGTGATAGAGCAGCCTTTGTTGCTCTACATTGCCGGCTACTTGATCGTGAATGAAAATAGATTCAGTTGCAGCAGCAGGAGAAGGCTCGTTTGTCCGTCTTTGTTCCTTTTGTCATGTGTTTCATAGTAAAACAGGATCTGCAGAAGCTACTGCGCGACATGTCTGTCTCACAGTGTATGTGTTTTGTATGTGTGTCCTGTTGTTAAGTCATTCAAACCACTCAAATCAGAGGGGACAGTTAAATTGTCTCAGTAAACATCACTTTCAACAGGGACACACTAATGTTGTTGGGCTACCACAACTTTCTTCTCCGAATATTCCAAATGTATCCTTGGAAACTTGGAAAACTTCATTCTCGTAATATTATAACTTTATTCTCGTAACATTATAACTTTATTCTTGAAATTCTAATATTGTTTCCCCTTCATGTGGCCCTAATACTCTTTTTGAATTAAAATATTATCAAGATAAAAATGTTCATATCAGTCCATATCGATAATTATCACAATGAATGTCTCATTGTTTAAAGCTTAAAGTTTCTGATCTTGAGTGAAGGTTGAGGCTTTAAAAAAACAAGTACTTGTGTTCTACCTCCTCACCGTGCTTACGAACTTGTATTATATCCATATTGATGCTATTATATTGAAATAATCATTATCGTTTTATTGCCCAGTCTTGTTTTTAATGCTGTTTATAGATGCCCCCTTTAGTATATAGTGAATGTCATCACGTGCAGTCGAGCACATCGTTTTTTAAATCATTTTTAGTCAAACCTTTTTAAACTTCTTTACATCTGCTGTTTAACAGTCTGCTGTGCCGACAGCTCAGGCCCAAACACTAAATGTTTATATGATCAATGTGGATTCGACAAAGCCAAAACCGCATAGCAGTTTCTAGCAAAATAAGATTGTCGTGACTGACTTTATAAATCACTAAGTTTATATCAGTGATAAATTCTCCTGTACATTGATGTTGCTAATGTCCTGAAGTGTAATACCTTCCACTGTCCTCACGCAGTTCTGTGTTTCCTGCTCCTGTAATTAGTCTGTGGGAGGAAAACCAGTGTCCTCTCACTTCTTTACCAACCTCCCCCTCTGTCTCTCTCTCTTTTCAGGTTTTTCGAGGACCTGGAGCGGCGTCACTATGACAACCCAGTGATTCGGGACATTAGCGATATTGTTCAGAACCACGCTGCCCATCACTTCGAGCCTTACATTGTCTACTGCTCCAACGAGACCTTCCAGCAGAGGACGCTGCAGAAGCTGCTGTGGGTAGCAGAGCGAACTGTAACATGCTGTTGTGTTTCTGCAGTAATGCGGCACGATGAGCTGAACTTCCCTTCTTCTATGTGTCTCTAAGGACGAGCAACACTGCGTTCAAGGAGACGCTTAGGCAGATTGAAGGGAGCAGTGAGTGCGGAGGCCTCCCCATGATCTCCTTCCTCATCCTTCCCATGCAGCGAGTAACCAGACTTCCACTGCTGCAGGATGTGAGTTACTTCTAGAAGGGGCCCACGTGATTGTCAAATCAAAAAAGATTAAAGTGTCTTTAGTTAATAGATAGTTTTCAAGCCATAATGTTAATTTTACACCCATCTATACATTATCTATGCTGCTTATCCTTTGAGGGTCCCGGGGGGGCTGGGGCCACTCTCATCCTTTGTGTCACTGTCATTGAAATATGCATTTATGTTATTTTGTTATTTATAAAGTCATGAAAAGATGCACCCACTAAAATCAAAATGAATTTATACTTATGTATGCATCACATCTTACATTTTCAAGAATCATGTGCCTATATACACACAACTACAATTTTTCATATACCGTGTATGCATGTACTGTATACAGTACTATAAGTACATAACTTAACTACCATTGTTTTCTCCTCATAGACAATCTGCCAGAAAACTCCAGACAAGACAGCGGAGTACTTTGCTGCCGTTTGGTCATTGCACGCCATCAGCAAGGTAAAGATACTGAGAACAGCCTGCCTGTGAATCTCCAACTCTTAAGCAACCACATGAGGTTGAGTTGTGTTGTGATGACTATCTTAACAGTTGGTCAGTAGCTGCAATGATGGAGCGAGGCGGATGGAGAGGACAGAGCAGATGTACACCATCCAGAAACATATGGACTTTGGTAAAATCAAGGTCAGAGCAAACCACGTTTCTGCACATGCAACCTCAAAGCAAACCGCTTTGACGTGTTGGATGAAATGTTGGTTAAATGTGTAGATATAAAGAGCGAGGAACATAATGAGACGTGGTCCGGTTTGCTTACCGGATAAATCTTGTGTCCTCACAGCCTTTTCCTCTGGTGTCATCATCGCGGTGGCTGAAGAAGCGCGGCGAGCTGGCCGTCTGCACCGAGGAGCTCAGCATCTGGAGGGCTTTCAGCAACAGGAGTTACTACCTGTTCCTCTTCAATGACGTGCTGATCATTACCAAGAAGAAGAGGTCAGTGTGTCTCAAATACACACACACAGATATAATGTTTCTTTAGAAAAAGGGTTTTATAAAAACAATACTCAGAACTGATTTTCATACTAAATCGTCACCAGGGTCGAGTATACAGATCACTTAAGGTTTTGCCTTCTGTGATATAGAAACTAAAATGTCACTCAGTAGAGTTTACCTCTGCCATGACCAACAGTCCCCGAATGGATCCACATTTAAATTCTCTACTTCCAGATATTTATTTGGATCTTCACCGAATTGCACACTCATAAATATCAATCCTCACAATATCCTCACAATTATTCTCTGAGAGATCGATGCACATTAAATGTTGAAAAACACCCAAACTCATAATGTGAGTAAAACAAATCCTGGCTCTACCTGCTGGATGTGCACCAAATTAAATGAGGTCTTACTTGGGTCATGCCCCACAGCTCCACTAAATTCCATGGAAATCGGTTGGATTGTTTTTGTGTAATCGTACTAACTGACAGAAGCAGACACCTAATTTATGGAGACAACATTAGAACCAGAGCCGGAGGTTTGTTTTTAGTGTTAGTTGTTATTGTTGATTTTGAGTTTTAACCTTAAGGCTTCTTTAACTAAACAAATACCTGTGGACTGCAAGAAGGTCCTTCTGCTGGCAGGGAACATGAGAAACAAAGTGCAGACAGGAGCGGGAGAGCAAGGGGACAGAGAGAAGAGAGCAGTGTAGGGATGTGGTGTGTGCATACTTGAGATTCTTCAATCTTGCATTCAACATGTCAGCTCGACTGGACTACAGCTTTCTGTTTTGAGTTAAGGAGAAACCAAACAATGTAAGCTCAGAGGAGCGACTGAGCCACAACACTGGAGTCATTCTGAGTCATTCTAAAGTCGTCACTGTGACCCCGTTCCTCAAGTGATAATATGCAGTAAATGTTATCAGCAGATAGTCAGGATATGTGGCTCTTTTTGCTCTATGAGTTCTACACAACTACACAGTAAACTTGTTTCAGCTGGTTACATAACATATAAGTGGAAAAATGATCATTTAAGTTGCTCTGTTTCTGCGAATAACTATGATGTAGTCATCCAGAGGTGTCTTCGGGAGTTGTGTTCATAGGCGAGACAAGTCCACAACTCCTGAAGACACCTCTGTGACTGCTCATTAAAGATGGACGACACGTCTCCTCATCCTAAAATCCCGGATTCAGATGCTGCCATCTTGTGCAGTCAGAGCCTGCACAGTAGCGATCTTGGGATGAAGGTGCAGTGTTTAGGTTCCACTGATACACATGCTCGACCAATCCTGTGTCAGTCACAGCTGTCAATCATGACGTTTCACCTCGTTTTTATATCATCAAATAACTAATTGAAACCTAACTTAGATAAAAGACACTTGGACCCACAATCCGTGTAATGAGAATTACCTAAAATGGCAGAAAATGTATTTAATGTGTTCCTTTACTTTTTTGTTTTGTCCATATCCCAATTCCTAACATGGAGGAGGCAGGATGTATTACCAATACTGCAACCAGCCACCAGTTGGCGATTGGCTTCACAGCTGTCTATGGTGTCTATGGTTGCAGCCAGAGGATAAGATATGTCTGGGGAAAAAATAAATAAACTCTAAATCTGAGTAAACACTGATTCCAGCGAGGAGAGCTTTGTGGTGATGGACTACGCTACTCTGGAGAATGTGGAGGTGGAGGTCGGAGAGGATGCCGAGGGACGGATGTCTCCACCTGCGAAGAACAGCTACCATCTTTCTTTCAAACTGCTGATGAGCAAGAACAGCGAGGGGAGATCGGAACACATCTCCCTGATGGCCGAGTCCAGGTACTGCTGCTCTCATCCCCCATCGTTCAATTGTCCAAGAAGGAATTATAAGATGATGTTAGCTGCTGTTTCTGTCACATATTGGTTAATGAATATATCTGAATGTTGACAGTTTCTTCAATTTTCAATTCAATTCAATTTTATTTGTATAGCGCCAAATCATAATATACATTATCTCAAGGCACTTTACATAGAAGGTCAAGACCTTAAAATCGTATTATATAGAGAAACCCAACAGTTCCCACAATGAGCAGCACTTTGGCGACTGTGGAGAGAAAAAACTCATTAACAGGGAGAAACCTATAGAACCAGGCTCAATGT